TGTGTATGCGTGTGTGTGTGTGTTAATCCCTCAAACCTAATACCCACACCAACACCTGTTTTCAAGTTTCTCCATTTCTGTACTTCTGCAGAGTATTTTATTCTGCCAGCAGTTTGTATTTGGAATTGAATTCTCTAATCCACACTGCACCAATCCTGTAAAATATACTGGATCAAGAGAAAAGCTTAGAAAAAGCAGATGAGGTTTCTGTGGGTTCAGTCTTATCTTGTGCATGAGCTCTATTATTATTTGACAATTGCCTGTCCTTTCTTCAACCAATTACCCTCCCGTATTAATGTAATGTAATATTTGTCTCTGAACCTTGAGTCGAGTTTATGGAAAATGCTTAAGCAATTTTTCTCCTGTCTCTGTTGAAATGAAACATAATTAATTTATTTGCACAAATTAGCACTTTAAGTATTTAAATGCAAATATGCTGAAGATAATAATAATGTGTTTTGTTTTGTCTTCTCCCCTTGATTTGCAGATTATACCCAAGGACAATGAAACACGGTCCACTTTAATGTACAAGTACATCATCCATGAAGATTCAGTTCCTGTCAACAACAACAATGTAATCCAGGAGGAAACATATGAGTGGGCTCTCAAGAGCTGGTCTCCATGTTCCAAACCTTGTTCCGCAGGTAATAGAAAAATTACCATCAAATTAGGAAACAATAGGGAGGAATAATTTCTTCCTCCCTGCTTCTGTTGTACATAGGCAGCCTTCAATGTCGCAGTAATACCAATTGAAATAAATGATGGGGCCTGTGTCTTTTAAGGTACTGCTGTTGTATGTCTGAACACATGCTTAGTCAGAGTGGCCAACAGGAGCACTGGGAGATTCCCAGTGGGTTGGTTACTCAGTGGGCCACTTGAGCCACCCATTATACAAAAACAAGAGCCAGAGAGATGTGTCGTGGGCCCGTTTTGATTATGCACCAGCCCCTATCCTCCTCCAGGACATTAAAATGATGTGCTACAGTAAACTTTCGAAATGTTGAAGTCATTGTTTGCATGAACGGTTATGATTAGTGATAAGTTACGCGGCATTAACAAATTAGAGATAAACCACCATTGTAGACCATTAAGGATTTTAGTATTTAATAAAGAAACAAAATGAAGAATGAATGAAGTAACAAAACCTAGAAACATTGGTTGTTTTTTTATTCCTAGTCCATCCCTGTTGACTAATCTTTCATACATAAAAACCAACCACCAGAGATTTTATTTGAACAGAAGGTAAAGAAGGAAAAACAAATAGGGCTGTGTGTCTTTAGAATTTTTTTGATACTCGTGCAAATGAGTTTACTGTACTGGAAAATAATACACTTTTTTCAATACTGTATCTATTTTTTGTCTAAACACAAGTCGAAAATTGGAAAAATTCTGTACTTTTTGATACAGTTTAATTTCTAGCCTTAGTAAAAATGGCTGGGCATTGACTGAATAGTATTTGATTATTTCTTTAAATGTTCACTGTGTTTTTTTTATGGATTACACAAAGATTTCATGATAAAACCCTTCACTTCCTTCACAGGGTTTCAGTACACTAAGTATGGATGTCGAAAAAAAGGAGACACCAAGATGGTCCATCGAGGCTACTGCGATGCCAGCAAGAAGCCAAAACCCATCCGCAGAATGTGTAATCTTCAGGACTGCACACAGCCTCAGTGAGTACAGCCTTCCCAACATCACAGGAAAATTTATTCAACAGTTTTTACAGATGTTGATTAGATTCCAATGGAGACTTGGCTGCAGTCTATTAAGATAAAATGTTAAAGTGGCTTCACTCTGAATGAGTTGAATTTAAATGAGCTTCTCCTCAACTGTAGTGTCTAGAAATGGACAGAAAAAAATGCACCCAAAAGTCTGTTTGTTTTTATCAAGATTTGAAAAAAGTTCACTTTGTGTTTTCACCAGGGGTGTCAGGCTAGGGGGGATACAGGGTCCTCGTGTGAGGAGGGCCCTCAAAGATACTAGAGTGAATATAAGTGGATGTTAGGAGGGGCCCACAGAGAATGCCTATGTACGCCACTGGTTTATTTAGCGTTTCCATCGATAATGAATGGCACCCTATCATTGGTGTCTGAGTTCTCATGTGTGAACCTTGGGTGAGTCCTTGGTATGAGTTGAGCTTCAAAAGCCTTGCTTTCTACAATGTCTCATAATGCAATTTAATAGCATCTGTTATTAGACTTCCTTGTCTGTTAAACGTCCTTATCTATTAAATCACCCAGATGATAATTTCTCAGACTTCTCCAAAGCCAAAGAAGACATTTAGAAACTATTTTTAGAGCCTGATTGACGAGTAAACTGATCAGAATCAGAATCATCAGAATCAGTTTCTAACATTTTTATTGTTAAAACAACAAACATTGAATATGAATGTTGATCTTATTGCCCTGACGTGCTGCTAACCTTGTGTCTGTGTTGTGTTTAAGTGTGTCATTAGTTTGAATTTTAATGGATATTTGGTGCCCCATGATAAAGTAAGTGCCGCTTCAGAGGTTTTTCCACCCTGATAAGAACATATTCTTTGGAGACTCTGACTACTTGTTACTTTCAGCTTTAATTTGAAAGACAAATAAAATAAGATACCAGAAAAAAAATTTGGTTTTTGGTAGTGTTGTACTGACTTTAGAAATACTGATGACAGAGCAACCACATTTTGGTCCACTGAAAATACTGTATTTTGCACATTAATAATATGGTTGATTTTCAGTTGTGTGTAAAAGTTCAACAAAGTGAACTCATCTGTGTCCAGATTAAACATTTTTGATGAGATAGGAAACATCTAATCAAACTTATCAGAACAAATTGAAGTCTAATCAGGTAAAGAAAGAGGAGAAGTCATTTAATCTTTAAATTAACTGCACAAGGGCCTGGAGTGATTAAAAATGAAAGGTGTTGAAATAGGCTAGTATTAGAAATATGTGAACTGCATTAAGGATTAATTCACAAATATTAGGAACAATTAGCACAAATGAGAAATTGAATTTATCTAACTTGATGTAACTTGAGTCATTAATTCAGTGTTCATTAGTTCAGATGTATTCATGTTTCTGCTTTAGCTGGGAGTGCTGCCAGGTTTACTTCTAACATCCAGCTGACAGGTTCACATCTTCACCACAGATCACGGCAGCTATTCGCTTCTGCTGTACTTTATTTGAGCAGCGGCATAAATCTGACTTTATACTTGACTCTTAATGTTTGTTTTTCCCCTTCAATCTGAAGTCTAAGATGGGCTCAAACCTTCAGAGACCCCGGGACAAAGTTGGTAAATCTCTACAAGGCTTACACGGGGAGGATTTTACACTCTGTAGCCCTGAATCATCTGTGCCAAGCACCTGTACAGGTTACATTTTATCAATACAACCTTTCAGCGTGACTTGTTAGGAGTCTGTTTTAAATTCTACAAAACAGTGACAGCTGGGTTAGAGACCTGATAAAATGAATGAAAAACAGTTGTGGTTGAGAATACAATCAAGCTTAGCTGCTACACTTCTAATGGTAGCAGGGGTGTGAGAGTAGAAGACATTTCTGAGGAAATTAATTAGTTGGTTCAGGTGATGGAGTCTAAATGCAGGGTCATGACAGATGAAAAAAAGAGAGGGTTGCATGAGCTTGTTAGTTGTGTAGACTGTAAACCGCCAAGATGAGAGGGAAGTTTCACAGCAGCTGTCCTTAAAAAACTGCAGCCAAAATCATCCACCCAAATCTCTCATCTGCATGAGGCAGCTTCTTTAGCTTCAGCCAACTTCAATACTTGAAGATGATGCAACACAACACCCCAAAGACCTCACACAGTAATGTAATGTTTATCCGCCAGCTGTTCTGTTCAGCTTTAAACCAAAGGAACAAGAGAAGAAAGAGATCTGAGGCTGTTATCTGATGCTGGATGAAACATTTTACTTTCTGCTGTTTAAGAAACTGTTTGTATTCCTGATTGACTCCTCTTTGGGATGGAGATTTGACCGCAGCTCACTTCAGCACTCCATTTGAACAAATGAAATGAATATCTCAGGGGTGGGACTCTTTGTGTTTCAATCTTTTTATTTTTTTGACAGATACTGTAGGAAAAGTTTTATATAAAAACAACCATGCCTTATGCATCTTAATGGACAAACTTAACTTTGTCAAAAGTTGTGTTAATGAGAATATCTTGCCATTTAGCAATGCTAGGAGCATGGCTTTAGGGATGGCAAGTTTGATCAGTCAGTCCACCTCTTTGATCTAGACATATCCCAGGAAATATTAAGGTGGATTGCCATGACATTTTGTAAAGACATTCATGGCCCCCAGTGGATGAATACAGACTTTGTATATTTTCAGATTTTTTTCCCAGCGCCACAAGCAAACTTTTCACTGAAATATTCTATATCTACTGGATGGATTGGCAAATTTGATACAGAAATTCATGGTTTTAAGACAATAACTGGATGTTTCTGTGTTGCCATGCATTTGACATATTGTGGGTATGAGTCAAATGTCTCAAGAACTATGGGATGGATTGCCATTAAAGTTGGCACATACATTCATGTTCACCTCAGGATGAAATCTAAGACCTAAGAACTTATGTTTTAACTAGCACCTTGATTCTCTTTTGTCCAATGCTTTAGGTTAATTAAATGCCACTAATTAAAATATGTTTAGCATCCCAACACTCTAAACTAAGATGATGCAACATCTGCAAACATCAGCATGTTAAGATTCTCATGGTAAGTATGTTAGCATGCTAATGTTAGAATTTAGTTCAAAGCTGACTACACTACACTACTATTAAGTAGAGCTTTAGCCTTAGCATGGTATGATGGGCATCAAAACACCCGCACCAACCAGCATATGCTACTGTCCTATTTTCCCAGAACCAGTAGCAGTCATTTTTTTTAAAGATTTTTCTTGCAAAAAATGATTTTGTTTATTGTGCAGTTAAATTTGTTTGGAAATATGAACCCTGGCAAAGTAAAAAACAGTTTTTGTACAGATCTACACACATCACAAAGAGCATTTCTCGGTTCTCATTCGGTTTGTATGGTCTCATAAATTACTCTAATGAATTATTAATTACTTGGATAAGAAAAATCTGGGACATACTGTATATCCCATGATTGTCAATTATGATGTGCACTTTAAGCACATTAAAAAATTCTAAACACGGGGCGCGCGGTTGGCTCAGTTGGTAGAGCTGGCAACCCATGTACTACGGCTGAGTCCTTGCTGTAGTGGTCCAGGGTTCAAATCCAACCTGCGGCCCTTTGCTGTTTATCTTTGGCTGTCCCTATCAAATAAAGGCAACAAAAAGGCCAAAAAAATAACTTAAAAAAACAAAAAAATCTAAACATTTTCTATTATTGAAATAGAATAAAAGATTTAGAGCATTATGCAGCCTTGGTGGAGGTATGTGTATCTCTGAGGGTTTCTTTTTTTTCTCCTTTCTTTTTGGCTGACTTTGTAATTTGGCGTCCGAGTTGGTCAGTGTGAGGAGACATACTTTTGAAAAGAAAGGCGAATTCCCTGAATAGCTGGCCTTATTTTTTTCATTATTGCTCGACCCCCTACCTTGCTTCATGACTTGACTTGTCTCTCCTTCCTTTAGTTTGAGAACAACTGAGATTTCAATCCAACTTCCAAAGACTCAGGCAAAGGAAATAAGAAATGTCAAGCAGGAAATTTGGGACAGTGTGCCTGAAAAAGATAAGAGCACAGTACTGATTATGTAGAGCAATATATAATATATAAATGTATCTGTCTTACAGTATGTTGCCACTTAATCTATCCGACAGTCCAACTGCTACTTCCTGTCCACAGAAACAAATGCAAATAGGAAGAACAAGAAAGGCGGGATATGCTCTGACACATAGCAAATGTTTAACACTTGTGGGTAAAATGGTTTTAATCACGTGTAATAGATTGAAAGCGTGCCACAGTAAGTCAAATGAATCCAAAACTGTAGTATAACATTTATAATCCCCTCTAACTACTATAGTAGTACAATAGTTCAAAGATGTCCTTGAAACATGCTCATGAATCACAGTTTGGCAGTTTTCTTCACAATCTCTTCAGCAGTTTTCTTTTAGAAATGTCCATTGCAAAGAAAATGCCGACGGGTTTGTCAGTCTGAACAAGGAGTCCTGTAACTATTGTTTACTTACTATACCTGTAAAATACTGCAGCCTCTAAATGTTTTATGTTGGTGTGTACACAGCAGAGGCAAAATCCTATCACAGCACCAGAAATTCCACTTTAATACAACCTGAGCCTTTCATCCATTGTTTGGGCCATCATTTGTTGGTAATAATAACATTGCTCTCTTTAATTAATTAATGGAATCTGGAAACACAAAAAGTGTGACGTGTGTGAAATATGAATATTATATCCCATCCATCACAGTTTAGCTTGGCTTATCTTTGAGCTCCAGTATTTGTGTACGAGGATTATAGTATTGTTTGCGGCTGTGTAGAGACAGAATATGTTCACATTTAAAAAATGTTAAAGAAGTGTAGGATTTATTGCCAGTGTAGTGATAAAGTTGCATATTGCAACCAACTGAATACTGCTTGCCATCCAAGTGTATAGGAGAAACTACGGTGGCCACAAAAGTCACAAAAAACAAGAAAGGCCCTATCTACAGCCAGTGTCTAATTTGTCCGTTCTTGGCTACTATGTAGTCGGCGGACTCCATTAAAAATAACCCGACCCTCTAAAAATGTCTCATTCTCAAAAGCACAATGATTCTTATTTTCAGGTTATTATACACTAATGAAAACATACCCATGATTATTATATTATGTTTCTGCCAAAAAGTCCTCCTAAAAGTTATATGTATATTTAAAATATATTTATTTGTGATTGCAGTGAACTAACTTTTAAAAAAAACACATCTTGTGGCCGTTCAAGATGCGACTTGAATGAATCATAGTCCATTTGAGTTGGTCCAAGTATATATGCTATAGCCTGCAAAGAAGCCTGAAATGCATCACTTTCCATTGTAGCTGCCTTTTGTCCTCCATTTATAAGTTCCATTTATCAGCTCAACAGTCTAGATGTGATTGAAGGTCCTTAAATATTGTGTGGGATTTAAGATTTGATTCACCAAGAGTTTGCGCAAGTCTGTGGAAAAAGGTTTCTGTAACCATCAAATTAAATACAACATTTCACAACACGTGCCACCTCAGCAAATATTAGTCTCTCCAAGTACCGCCATTATGACTGACGTTATAATACAGCATTGTAGGCCTATTCAGCAATGGACAGTTCACACAGGGGGCAGGTTAACCCCTAATAAGAAGATTGATTATTGTTGACTGTTGTCAGCCACCACCACGCTGTACAAAGGGGTAGCAATAGAGCTGGTACTTCAACTCTTCCACATGTGGAGACCCGGAAGCTCACCTTGTGTAGTGTGCACCCTCAATGCTGACTCCTTACTGCAGCGGGCTGCATGTCATCCTTTCTCTCTCTCCCCTGCCTTTCCTGTCAATCTCTCCAGCTGTCACTGTCTACTAAAACATAAAATGTCCCACAAATCTCACACAACCCACACAATGCTCATACACTGCAAGATGTAACTAGTCATGGATGAGTGCAAGAACATGACTACATAGCAGGCTGTATTGACCCAAAAATACTATTGCCAAACTTATTTTAAATGATATTTCAGCTACCTCGTAGTGTATATCTTCAATTTGCCTTTTAAGCCAGGTAGAAGCAGATAACATATATATATATACATGAATGGAGTATGCCTCAGTCTGTTGGGGAACCAGAGAATTATTAGGCCAACTGAAAGATGGAGGAAAGAGTTTGGTGGAAAAGATTATGACGAGGTTACCGATTCAGAGCTTGATCAATAAGCTTGCAGACTGACCAAGGGGCTGTCATCAGAGTGAGATTACTGGGTTAGCAAGAAAAGTTTGAATTTAACCCTGAAGTTTCTGCTCACTTTAAACTGTGGTAGATCTCAGCAAAGATATATTGATTTTCTGGCAGGTTTATGTTCCAATGCAGGAAAAAGTAGTTTTTTACTGCCAGATGACACTGTTCAGTAGAGCTTATTAATTGGATTGATGGCAAGAAAAATGCTAAACTCTTAACTCTTAAAACACCATGGAAACATACTGGAATTACTTTACCTTTTGTGAAAAAAAATACAAACAGATACTTTTACTGCATCACAGAAAGACACCTTATCTCCACACATCCAGTTACATTTTTGTGGTGGATACAATACGCAAACCGAGGCATCAGCCATGGTGACAGGCTTAGCATTTTGGAATTACTAGAAAGATGTAAGTTCCCCCTCATCTCTTATACAAAACAAATCAGGAAATCAATACGTTAGGTAGAATGTTAGCAAGCTAGACAACTTTTTATAGCACCTGAAAATTTACCACAACATATTTATCTGATCTGAGTTTGTTTTTTCTTTTTTTTTTATTGCAATATGTGATAAAATTGTATATTACTACTCACAGTAGTCTGTGAACAACTCAATTTGATGTCTATACGAGGACTTATGATACAAATACATATGTTCTACTGCTACTGAAGAGAGAAAAACTAATTGAAATACAATGAAGATCAATATGACAATAACACTGGTTTCTGTCCCTGCTGTAATAATAATTATGAAACTGCCACCAGTGGTATCAAAAATCATTTAGTGTGAGACACATTACTGTACACTGCCAGCCGGTGGATGATTTCAAGTGTATTATTGAAAACATTTAAATGCTTTTTGTAGCGTTGAGTGGAGACTAAATATGCTCCCTGCTGTGGTGAAGGGCACAGAATCATCACAGGTCATCACATGATATGACTTTGTTTTGTTGTTGTTCTGTTTCCGTTTACGTCAAATCTATCTTTGTCTGATTTCCATAAGCCGATATATATATGATTGATTAATGAATAATTTTATAATTTTAATAGGTACATTGCTTAAACATCCCACAGCTTATTAGGGCCATTATATGTTAAGTAATTACAGAGCCAGGGGAGGGGGTATATTCTGAAATAGAAAAAAATCAAAACTCACAAATGAATGAGAAAAATACTCTCTCACAGTTGGGTACTGACAGAAAGTTGGTCTATATAATGATGTCATACTA